AATAAATTGCACCACTGAGAGCCAATCAGATTGCAAGGATAACCAGTGATTTCAAGATGGATTTAATAAATAAATTAAACAAACATTAAAGTTTATACCTTATTGCCTAGTACATAAGTGTCATGAGAGTGCTTTAGTGGATGTCAACCCCCAAACCATCCCAATAATGCACTCTGCACTAAAAAAGAGCTTCAGATGTAGGCAAATTGAAAGGCAGGTTACAACTGTTCATCAACCATTCAAAGCAGTAATTCATTTGAGTTGCAGCACCAGATGGTGCATTAAGTACTATTTCAAAAACGAGTGTGAGGGTTTTATCAGGTTTCCAAACGCGAGAAACAGTTGAAACCATAAGGCTGCAGGCCGAATGGTTTTATTGTTTTCAAGCCTTTGGAAACCTGATGAAACCTGAAGCACGAGTTTTTGAAATTACTTCTCCAACAAAGAAAATTAGTTTAAATTATCATTTGAATAAGTTTTCTCAATTCAAATATTATATTTGAGATGTGAAATGTGATTCTATCACCTAATTGCTGCCCTGTGACAATTTTTGAATATTCATCAATGTTATGTTGTTACCTAGCTGTTTGTCAGTTCTGAGTGAACATGTTGCTTTGCAAAGCAAATGGCAGAGTACAGATTTAGACCTCCTAAAACTCGTGAAGAAGAGGAAAAGTGTGTGGCCAGCACTATTCCGAGGTAACGTGTGCATCTAGTCTGTTAAATGCAGGGGTAGATAGTAAATTAGTACACCTTAGAACTGGGAATTTCTAACGTTAGTGCCATTTTAGGTCGGAAGTGTACAGCAAGGTTGAAAGCGAACCAAAAGACGAGGTTGCCACCATTGAGCGAGAATTTAAATTTAGAAAAAGAATGGCCCTTTCTGTTTTGGGGAGTTTAATAACCGTACCATTACATTTAATGTTAGCAGTAAATAATTTAGGTTTAAAAATTGTTTTGTAAAATGTGTGATTAAATAAAGTTGTTTATCATCATGTGTTTTTCTTGCTGTAACATGACAAAAAAATATCTCGCATATCTTTGTGAACAAATCTTCTCACATACTACAAATTTCTTACACTTTAATCAAAAGTAAAATGCTGAGTTTCATGTTTTTCTCATTTAGTTTCTTAAAGAATGGATTGGTTAAATCACAATACAAAACTAAATACGAGTTTGAGACAACATTACCACAATATTTGGTGGCATTGGGAGAAAATAATTTATATTCTTTGCAATGGGTTTGTATGTGGCTCACACATTTGCAAAACTCAAATTGCGAAAAAATTTGAATTATCATAGACATAATATGGCAAGGCAAAATAAAAACATGGTTGGACTTTAGCACAGTTTCATCCCTCAAATTTGGTCAATGCCAACCTCTTTTTAGCCGTTTTTTGGTGTTGAAGTAATTTTCATTCCTTTGAGCCTTCTTTTCTTTGAATATCAGTTTTGTTTTCATTTTGCCAAAATATTGTGAAATATTGCTTTCCCAAAGTGAATTTTGTTACTCCAAAATTTTGCTTCAAACCAGGAAATTTGGCTTATTTTCATTTTGATAAGAACCAGAGTTTCAAATTTGCTGCAAAGTCTAATGCAAATTCAATGAGAACAAATCTAGTAAGATTCAATAAAATTTGTTTGGATTTGATAAGTACTGTACATGTATGAACAAGTGTATAATAATGTACAAGTAAGCATTCGTATGACAGCTGAATACTTATTGCTGCTCATGACAAAACCATGCACTATTTTATTATACCCCAGTCAATCTTTCAATTCCTGGGGCTGGGAATAGCAATTTATTTCATAAATGATAACTCACTGTTAACTTCCAGTCCATGAGCTTGATCAGTTCTTTCTGGGTTAAGTATTGTTCCGGTCTCTTGTTTATTTCTTGAGGCAGCTGATTCTGAAACCTAAATATTGTTAAATCACATATTATTCACATTTAACACCAAAATTATTACAATAATATTAATAGCATGACTGTATTTTTGTACATAAAAAAACTTAGTCTGTCAACAGACCCTCTATTGTGACCTGGGATCTGTTGTCAGATCCGGCCTAACAAAAGTATTAATATGGCATTTTAGCCCATAATTGGCTAAAGGGTGATTAACATGTCATCATCAAGTCAAGGATCCATTAGTGTGCAGAATGTGATTTCCAGTGCTTGTTGCATTGTCACTTAACAGTTATATAAGGATGCTTGCTGCCAAGTTTGAATCATGTGCATTATAATAAACACTGTCTATGACTGATACAAAACAAGCTTGCATCTTCAGTAGATATTTGGATTTCGAGCAGTAATACCTGGGGTCCTGTTATTTAATCATGAAACATTTTCCATTATTGCAAATATTCTACTTGATTATTTCATGTTCCATTCTGCAAACAGTTACTGTAAGACAGAACAAGAGGTCTGTTACATTTTATATCTTTTCTGAAAAGTTCATGATTCTGTTTTACATGTAGCTACTGTCAGGCCATACAATGAGGTAAGGATATTCTGGGCAATTTTGTAGGATATTGTTAATTTCTAAATCTAACTGTAGTGTAAACAAAATTTCTAGTGGATGGGAGATGGGAGCCAGGGGTGAAGGTTAAAAAAGGAGAGAACAAAGTGTCTCAGGGTGTTGGATTGCCCCCTCTGGTTTTGGGCCTTGTTGAGATTGAGAGCTTGATCTGCTCTCAGCAGGTTTTAAACCATGTACTAGATTCCTCCATGCCTTGGGGATATATTACAACCCCACCCTGTAAAAGATCAAATTATTTGTGACCTAGATTGAACAGTAGTCCTTACAGTGTGATCATCTGGGTGAGGGTAGTTATGAAAAGAACTGTTGTTGGTGACTGATGTTTCGACAACCTGAACGGTTTCATCTAATACCCTGAGCGGAACTCATTGAACTACTGATACTCCTGGGTTCAAACCATTTACTATGCTAGATTAAACACCAATCAAAGCAATTCAAAAAGGTGTTTGTCAAGATGAAGTTCCGAATGCACTGATTGGTTGGGAGCCTTAGTCAAGACCCCAGGATTATTTAAGGATACTTCAATCAGGTGCAAGCAGGAACAAAAAAATAAACAGAATATTTTACAATGCTATGTGCCATGAAAAGAGATTAGAAAAAAGGACAAGGATGAGTTTTAACTGAACAACATAAAGATCAAGAAGTTACATGTACCATATTTAATGGTGGGATTTGAATGCTGCAATTGGTAAAGTGAATTCAAGCTCTGGATAAATGATGAGAAACCATGGTTTGGGAGTAAGGAACGGGAGTGGTGAGAAGTTTTCAATCCTGTGTTCAGCAAACAAAGAAAGCTATATATCATTGTAAAGCTAATAACCTGTGGAATCTGAAAAAATAACAATATATTCTGCTATTTTTGTTTTAACAGGCATGCATAAGCCTTTAAACACAAAAATGACTGTACTTGCTAAACTGAATTACCAGCCTTTGTGTTACTGCTGACATCCAAACCAACTGGACATTATCAATCAGGAGATGATGGGCTATTACAAATTGTGTGCGGCTTTTTCGATATTTCTGTTGGTTGCTTAGGAAATCCCTTTTAAAGTTGGACAATAGAAAATTTTCTGACTGCTGTTACTCAATGGGAGGTCACAGGAAAAAGTTTCAATTTTTGGAAAAGCTTCACACACTTTGGTGTACTAATATGTGACAAAGATTTTGGCCAAGTTTCGTTAAAATCTGATAAATCTACATTTAATTCATTTGAATAGAGGTACATGTCATTCATGCAAAAATAAACCTTGAGTTTTGCGCCTCGAAAGAAATTCACAGTTTTCACACCTCACTGAAGCGGTTGCCAAGGTGGCAATGCTGCCAGCCAATGAAATGCAGCTTCGAACTCCCCAGCGGGCTACAGCAACGCTTTCGGGAATGAATGCCCAATGTTTATATTTAGCGAAGTCCGCCGTTAAGCATCCAACAGCTTATAAACCAAATCAGCTGCTAAATGGTTAAAAGAAGCTAAGGAAAAGGGAAAAAAGAGGAATGATAGTGGAATAGCCCTGAACAGGCCTACTTGGCAAGCCGTGTCAAGTCTAAGCGCGTAATTTATTGGCCTGTTTGTTTTACTAGAATATGGAAAAACACTCTTTGAAGCAGAGGAAAAGAGCGTTTGGAGAAGTTGCCTTGTCAGATCAGCCATTAAATTCACCGGTAATTTCACGGCAATCAACTTCTGTGCCAGAAGAAGCTAGAGCAGTACATTGATGAAACATTCACTCGCGATTTGCACTTGCGTTCAAAATTGCCTAGTCTATCAATTAAGAGAAGAATATTATCATCAAAAGCAAAGATTTTGCAAGAAATTGCAAGACGTAAGGGATAAACAAAAGAAGTGAAATACCACTCTGTGGATGAGATCAGTTGCCGTGAAAATTGAGACTGTTCAACCAAAAGCACATTTTAATTGGCTTACATCACAGTTTGACTCGTTTTAAATAATTCACATTTTTGTGGATAACTCGCGTTTTAAGTTTTTAAAATAATTTTTTTTGGAAAATTCAGATAGAGTAGAAGTCTTGAATTTGGTGTAAAAAAATAATATTGGACAAAAGAGGCCCATGAAGGTCTACAGTAACCTTAATTCAGCAACAAAAGTATGTCCCTGTTCTGTTAGAGTTCACTTTTGTGTGTTATTATACCTTATTATTATTATTATAGCACATATATATCAACAAAATAAAGAAAGCCACACATCATTTGATGTAATGTGAAGGTGTTAAGATAATTATGATAATGCATGCTGTATAATAGACTACCGGTATTATTATTGGTTGAGTTGAGTTCACATGACATAATAAGTTTGTTATCTTCGCATCGCCTCATGTTCTAGGTTGTTCTGTTGTCCATTCGCTACGTAATAGTTGGTCATTAAAGGTGTCCTAAAAGTATTGCCCTTGAAGTGATGTAAACAGATCCTTTATCAGGTTATGGGCCCAGGACATGGAATTGGTGTTATTTAATGCTATTTTGCCGTGAAACATGACGTTGATGTCAGAAACTATAAAGATTGAGAAGCTGAATGGAAAGAATTACCAGTCATGGAAGTACAACATAAAGCTCGTTTTAATGGAGCATGGTCTATGGAGATTTACACAAGAAGGTCAGGAAACTCCCCCAACGGAAACTGCAACTATGGCTGTGAAGAATGCCTTTCGATTGCGATCTGACAAAGCCGTTTCGCTGAATGCATTGAACGTGGAAAAAGATTTGCATGTTCAAATTTCTTTGGTGACTAACCTGCTCAAAGCATGGAAAATATTGCAGAAGCAGTTCGAGTTTGTATCAGTCACACAGCTTGTCCGTTTAAATCGTAAGTTTTACGCAGCCAGCATGAAAGAAGATGCGGATTTGATGCAACATTTAACCCACATGACCTCCCTCGCTGAGCAGTTACGAGAAATGAATGAGGAAATCTCTTTGAAGAAATTCGCCACGATGGTGTTAGGAAGTTTACCCGAGTCCTACGATAATTTCCTGACGAGTTTAAATGCAAGAAATGCCGATGATCTCAACTGGGAGAATGTCAAAGGATTATTGATCAAAGAATATATGAAGCAGGCAGAAAAGAATGAGAATGAAGAATCCGCCGACAATGCGCTTTTTGTCAATAGAGGAAGAAATTTCAACTGAGGTAGACATCAAGCACGTGGTGGAAGCTGTGGTGCCAGCGGCGTTTGTGGTGGATGTTTTCTGAATTTCAATTCCATTAAAGGTTCTAAATCTCACCATGATGAATGAGAAAAAAACAAGGGAGTCACATGCTTTAAACGTAACCAGGATGGGCATGTTGTGAAGAACTGTCCATACAATAACAAACAGCACAACAACAGAAGGGAAAGTTCAAATATGGCCGCACTGGAGGGAGTTGCACTCATTTCAAGTACAATGAATCGATCAGGTGAATGTTTCATTGATTTGGCAGCAACAAAGCATATGACAAATGACAGAAGCATTCTGGAGAGTTATGTGCCGTACGATCAACCAAAGGACATTTACCTTGGAGACAGCACAGTGTTTCGTGCTCTTGGCGAAGGGAAGGTAAGACTTCCTACAGTAAACAGTACATATGATGTTGTCCTTGACTTACATAAAGTATTGTTTGTACCAAAGTTGACCAGGAACCTACTTTCAGTACCTGCAATGGTGTTAATGGGAGCAGAAATTCGTTTTGACAAGGACAAATGTTTAGTACTTAAGGATGGTAAGGAATTTGTCATTAATTGTTTGCTGCATGACAAACTGTACTCTGTCAATACCACTGAGTATGCTCAGGTTTCAACAGCTGACAGTAAGCCATCGCTTGCAGTACGGCACCGTACACTTCCAACCACTTTGCCACATTCTGTGCCGAGAACGGAATTTCTCACGAATTCACTGTTCCATACTGTCCACAGCAAAATGGAGTAGCTGAATGGATGAATCGCACTATTATGGAGGGAGCAAGATCAATGCTCTACCAGGCCAAATTACCACTGAATTCTGGGCAGAAGCCTGCAGCACAGCAGTGTACCTTCACAACCAAAGCCCCACAAAAGCAATGAAGAATGAAACCCCATTTGAGCATCTGTTTGGTAGAAGACCAGACATTTCTCAGCTGAAAGTCTTTGGCTGTGTGAGTTATGTGCACGTTCCAGATAACCAGCCCAGAAAACTAGATGCTAAGGCCCACAAAGCAATCTTTGTTGGATATCCTCCTGGTGTCAAGGGGTACAAATTGTATGACCTAGAGAAGAAGAAGTTCATTGTGAGTTGAGATGTTCAATTCTTTGAAGATAACTTTGATCATTTTAAAGAGGAGATTAAGTCAAAGGAGGGACCCCCAGTAGATATGAAGAGCATATTTCCAGATACCGGTATGAACGAAGGCAGTGAAAGTGTTCCAGAACATCCCTTGAATGAAGAACCTGCAGTTCCAGAGCAAGTTGAACCTCCAGATCAAAAGAATGAAGAACCTGTGGTTCCAGCGAGTGTTAAACCCCCAGTTCAAAAGGATGTTGAATCTTCAGTTCCACAGAATGTTGAGGCAGTGGGAGCACCAAATGACGAAGCTCTTCTTAAGAAGACATATGAAGATAAATTTATGGAAGAAGTTCTAAACCTAGGACCAGTAAGGCAGTGAAGAAAGCCAAACAGATTCCGAGATGATGATGATGATGACTGCCTATTAGTTAATTCAGAGATGGAAGAGTCCAAGACAGTTCATGAAGCATTAAATGGTGAGCAGTCTGGTCAATGGAAAGAAGCGATGCAGTCAGAATATTCCTCTTTATTATATGGCTAGCTCCATGAGCGGGCAAGATGAATCAAATCCTGCACTGTGATTGGCTACCTGAGTGGGCAAGATGGAGCTATCTTACCCACTTGGGACTACCCGCCGTGTCC